TGTACCACTGAGAAGGCCTGATTTCCAGTGGTTGTTTTCCGGGCCTCTCTCGGGGTCCGAACGCTCAGCTGCCCTGCCTGCGACGATCTTAGAGGATGGGCAGACCTAAATGGAAGGAGGCGCTCAGCCAGATATCGAGGTCCTGAAACGTTTAAGGCCTTATAGGTTTAGTACCATCACCTTGAAACTAGTACGGAGGCGGACAGGTAGCCAGTGTAAGGCAGCCAAGGGTGGGGGAGATACTTTGTTTTTTCCTAACCCCACCCAGAAGTCTGGCCCCTGTGTTCTGGACCCGTTGCCATCTCCGTAGCGGTCCCAAGGGCAGAACCACATAGAATGTACCCATTCCCAACCACTGGCTCCAGGACTGACTGGTGGAACATGGAAGTGGATGTGTGTATGATGCTTCCAGTGGTCTGATGGGCCCAGGTGCATGCCTGCACCACATCCCTCATTAATCCCCTCCTCTCTTTCCTGGTTTCTTTTGGCATCCCAATGTTTGGCCCATCATGTCATTGGAGGCATGGCCAATCATCGTGACTCACGGGACTTCTTGTCCCAACCATAGCAGCAACCTTGTGAAGCCTGGGGGAAAATCCCTTCCTAACTCTTTATTTGCCCCACCTGTGGCACCCGAAGGGCCTCCTCTATCCCATGACAAGGGTCCCTCCTCCCGTGTCCTCCAGTTTTGGCCCTGTCATTGCTGGAAATGGGATGTGTTGGCCCGGCCACCCTTAGTCTGATCCTGTTTAACCCTCAAGAAGGGCAAATTGTTAACCCCACCCAACTTTGTCATGACTCCACTTATGTGCAGAATGGCAGTCTAAAGAAGACTTTCTCCTGTATAGGCAGGGGTGCTGCCTGTACAGCTCAAATTCCTAAAAAAACAAGGTTCCTGGTTTTGTGAGAACCTTCATGTGTAGAAGAAGTTCTGTTTAAGCTGTTCCTCTTCAGATGTGGAGAGGCAGTGTGAAGAGAGGGAGGCCAATTTGATGTCACCCCCAGGTCCCCTGTATACTTGATTAGCTAACAGCTGAATAAGATATATTCCACTTCACACATTTAAAAAAGATAAACATTTAATTTTTAAAAAAACGATAAATGTTTAACTGTATCTTTGCCCATACAGTCCAGTTCAACTAGTTCTAATTCACATTATTTATACGTGACTGAGGTTGAGGGGAGGAAGGGATTTCTTATGGTTAACTGACTTATGCCAAGTTCTAGCAGCCTAGAGATTTGAACCCAGGACGCAGATGGCGAGACCTTTGTCGCTCAGTTCTCTCCCACTTCCCGAGAAACAGCCTTTTGAAATTTCAATTAGGAAGTCCATTAGGTCAATCAGATAAAGTCACACATTGTAAGGAGGATTTCACATTTTTATGGCCTTCGCCTCTTCAATTATCTATAATGAACTTCTTAACAGAGTCTCAAACCTTTTTATATGCTAACTAATCCTTTATTGGGGCTGCGGAGGTGGCCTGTCATTAATGAATTTGAAACAAGTATGATCAGGAAGGTTATGGGCCAGCCAAGGAAAGAGGGAGGTGGGGATGGGGACTGGAAGCCAGGACTCTGAATATATGTGACTTTCACCCAGAGCTTCTAAATGTTCCTTTTTTGGAGTGCGGTTCACAAAATTCCCCACCAACTAGTCCAAAACACGAAATTTCCCAGCTCTGCGTTAGTCCTTTTCATTCCGAATCCTGGTCGGTTCCTCAGTGCATGGAGAGAGTCTAAGGGTGAAGGAAACTTCTCCTCTTTGGAAGGTCACCTTCCCAGAAACTAGAAATTGTGACAGGGACATCCGCCCAGGTCGTGAATATTAATGTGCTCCCTGCATGGACCAATGAGAGTGCTGGAGAGGCGGAGTCACAGGATATACGAGTCTCCCAAGGAAGAGGGGAGATTAGATCGGAGATTGGGGATGAGAGATCGGTAGTTTTATTTTTGAGGATTGGTGGTTTTGGAATTTGGGGTGGAGAGAGCGAGAGCGGTTTGGCGGTTTGAGAGTGGATGAAGAGGGCTGTTTTGTTAAGAGTTAATGACACGGATTGTACTTTCGTCACCCGTAACAATAAACATCTTTTATTTGGTTCTTTTAAAATGACACATTGCCGGGACCTCTGTGATTAATAATAAGTCATGTTGATGTCATCAACTGGTGGCAGCGGCACAACACGTTCGCTTGTGCCCTTTCATTGGTGAAACAACCACGGGACAGGTGGTAACAGGATAGTAACCCTGGGAAGGATGAAGTTAGCTCTCTTTCCCTACCTGCGAGGGCCAACCTGGATTCTTCATGATGGAACAGGGCTTTGCCTTCTGCTCTCTCTTGTAGCAACCCTAATAGGGCTTTCAAGGTAAGCGAGACATTTAAGGATTTTTTTTAAATTTCACACACACACACCTCCATGAGTTTCCATGCCCAGTGAGGATTTGAACCCACGCCTCCTGAATTGTCGTCCATCCATCATTCTGCCCACTAATGCCACACTAGATATTTCAGCGTGGATAGCAAAATATACCCTGTGGACTGGAACAGTTGTCCTAAATATGGCACTGCATCCATCTGTCATGAGAAGGTTTTGAAATGTGCCAACTTCTCTACCACAAATGCTGTGTATATATTTGAATTCTGCCTAAATATGGTATTCCATGTTTCTGAGAAGATGGGTTCCAGGTTTCTGAGAAGGTTTGCTGTACATGCTGAAACCGAAACAAACAAAACAAAACAAAACAAAACAAAACAAAACAAAACAAAACAAAACAAAACAACAACAACAACAACAACAACAACAACAACAACAACAACAACAACAACAACAACAACAACAACAACAACAACAACGGAAAGGCTTGTGGTCTCTTAAAGACCAACAGGTTTCTTCCAGCGTGAGCTTTTGTGGAATTACTCATCTTCTCAGAAACATGGAATATGATATTTAGACAGAATTCAAATATATATATACACAGCATTCATGGCTGGTGCCAACTGACAACGGTAACAATTACCTTGGTTGTGGGCTTTTCAAATAACCCTGGCTCAGTAAGGATTAATCAAAGTGCTAATTACAGAGGCTTCCTGCTAACTGTTAAATGATGGTGTTGAGATGCTGCTGTGTCAAGGAGAAGAATTCTTTAGTTAAAGATTTCCTAAAGAGTTGGGCGAGTGTTAATATATAGGCCAATATCCTATGACTAGTCTCAATTGGAGAGTAGACCCACTGAATCAATTGCTAAATGGCAAGTTGACATTTGTGTAGATCCTGTGGAGTTCATTGGTTTTATTCTAATGGGGACCAGCAGTAGGATATAGGCCAGAATCCTTGGTCCTTATGTAATCCTGTTGTCCTAGATAGGAATCTGTGGATGTAGCCCATTTCATCTGGCTCTGCCTTCCTGGGGTGGGGACTTGGAACAATGACAACAACTAATTACTTTTAAAAATAACTTGCCAAGCTGTGATCTTGGAAGCTGGAAAAAGAGACACAAAGGGAACAGAATATTTTTTGGGGGCTCTTCGAAGAGCCTGAAAAACCCACAACAGCCATCTTCCAAGTCAATTTTTTTTAAAAAAATGCACCTTATACTACATGAGTTCTGCGGTATCGTTCTGAACCCATAGGATTGATTGATTGATTGATTTGTTTGTTTGTTTATTAGATTTTTACCCCGCCCTCTAGACCATGTCTACACTGGATTCCCAGTGTGCTGAAGGTTAACAGTAAAGTTAGGATCATTTTGATGTGACTTTTATTTCCTGAACCCAGTGTGAATTCCAGGATTCACACACACACACAAACACAATCAGAGAACAACAGTTGTACTTCCTGGCATCACAATTCACTGGAAAACGCTCCAGGACAGTTTTTATTTTTATTTTTACTGAAAGTATCCTAGTGGCAAAAAGTAATTAATTTGTTTGGACCATTTTTTCCCCATCTCTTTTCAAACATTTTTCCCCCCTGTAAAACATGAACAAGTTGAACCTTGCGATGCTTATCATTTTGTCTTTATGTGACAAAATCATCAAATTGCCAGCCTTGTGCATTTGGATCTATGTGGATTTTAGAACAAAATGTATCTCAGAGACCAGAGGTCCCATCTGGGTGGGAGAGAATTGAGTGGGTCAAGAAATCCATGACCATCGATTTGGAGGTGCTTTGTATAATCATTCAAAATCTTCTAACATTCCCAATGTGGGAAGCACATTTTGGAGTAGCACAGGGCGTGATCCCATGCCACCTGGAGGGAGGCATGGAGAAGAGCACAAAATGTAACTTCTGGCTGCCTTTTGAGACAAAGCAACTGGACAACAGCAAAGGACAGGAAAGCATGCTGCTTAGATACCACCTCATAGTGCTTAAAGCAGTTTCTGGCTGGTTGTTGTGTGTTTTTTGGGCTCTTTGGCCGTGTTCTGAAGGTTGTTCTTCTGAACGTTTCGCCCGTCTCTGTGGCCATGGGCATCTTCAGAGGACAGGAGTAGCACTCTGTGCTCTGGTGCAGTTTGTTTGGGAGCTGAGTATTTATAGCTATGGGATCAGCTTTTGTCCTTTTCAGGAGATGGGTGATTAGGGTGATCAGTGTGGTTTTGTTGTTGTTGTATTGTTGAGACAAGGAGGAGAGATTATCTGTCACTGTGATTGATGGTCTTTTGTGTGCAGCTGGTCTTTTGTGTGTAGCGATCACCGGTCCTTGTGGCAGGCGACACATTGCCACCACCAGGTGGGTACTCGATTTACCAACCTTGGAAAGCTGAGTCAACCTTAAGTCGGCTACCTGAGCCCATTGGGATAGAACTTCGGCCATGAACAGAGTCTTGACTGCACTACTGCAGTTTAACCACGGCACCACGAGACTCCAGAGCAGGGGCGGCTTTTGAACATCTCAGCTGAGCAACCTGTGACTCCTTTGGGCCTCAGTATTCATTAACGGGACAGGATGGTGTCTTTCTTCCCCCCACCCCGTATCCCATCACCCACTGCCCTTTTCTGCAGGACTGCCCCCAGCTGCTGCAAGTCAACAAGATCTTGGTGCCCGTGGAGGTGATCAAGCCCATCACGCTGAAGGCCAAGAACTTGCCCCAGCCGCAGTCGGGCCAGCGAGGGTACGAGTGCATCATCAACATCCAGGGCAACGAGAAGAGGGTGCCGGCCTTGCGGTTCAACAGCTCCAGCGTCCAGTGCCAGAACACTTCAGTGAGTAAGAGTCCAAAGAGAGAGAGAGAGAGAGAGAGAGAGAGAGAGAGAGAGGCACACTTGTCAAAGTGTTTCAGGACGTTTATCTTTGCTACAAATCAAGCTCTCTCTCCATGCCCTTTGGCGGGCAAGCCGTGATGCTCTGGGCTCCAAAGAGCAGGAGAGAAACGAGATGCGGCGTTTTCTTTCTCTTCTCTTTCCTTTTCTCCCCTCTTCGTTTGTAGATCCTGGCCTTTCACCCTGGAAGGAAAGGCTGCAGGAAGCATCATGCGCTCTGCAAAGCTCCTGCCTTCCTTGTGATACATTCTTTCTCGTCAGTGTGTGAGTCCTCACAGAACACCTTTTAGTGTGGTTGTAAACGATGTGGCATATTCAGTGCTCTGGGTCATAGTTTTTCTGGTTTTCCTTCTGTACCAGAACACAATTCTTCCCCTCAAGTTGGAAGGAGCCTATGAGGCCATCAAGTCCAACCCCCTGCTCAAGGCAGGAACACAATTAAAGCATATCTGCTGGGTGATTATCCGAGATTTTCTTGAATGCCTCCAGTGTTGGAGCACTCATCCACTCCTGAGGTAATTGATTCCACTGTCATACTGCTCTAACAGTTAGGAAGTTTTTTTCCTGATATTCAACCAAAATCTGGCTTCTTTTAACTTGAGCCCATTGTTGTGTGTCCTGCACTCTGGGATGATCAAGAACAGATCCTGCCCCTCCTCTGTAGGACAGCCTTTCAAGTCTTTGAAAAGTGCTATCATATCACCCTTCAGCTTTCTTTTCTCAAGACTAAACATGCCCCATTCTTTCAGCCTTTCCTCCTAAGGCTTGGTTTCCAGCCCCCTGATCCTCCTTGTTGCCCTTCTGTTCTTCTGGGGGGCCCCCTGGGAGTGTGTGCAGCTGTCCCAAGGCTACCTAGGCTGGCTCTTCTCCCGAGAGGCCCAGTGGGGGAATCGAACCCCCAACCTTTGGCTCCGCACCCAGAGACCTAAACCATGGAGCTATCCAGGCAGTTCATGTAACCCATGTGCCTTCTCTGGTCTTTGGGTGGTTTGTTCTGTTTGTAGTCATGAGAAAACCCGGGCTTGTCTGATTTCAGAAGCTACAGTGCCAGGGGTAAGGGAACACCAGGGAATGCCAGGCTGCACATTGAGAGGGCCGCATGCGGGCGTTCCCAGGTTCACTTCTCACCATCTCTTGGTAGGAACTGGAGAAACACAATTCTTCTTGAAACGTAGGTGCTGGCTTACTAGCCCCCCTTGGCATCTTCTGTGACGTTGTACACGGAAGCTCTTTCTGGATAAAAACCTGATTCTGGTTGCCCCCTCCCTCCCTGCCACTCAGCTGTGTCTTCGTCCTCAAGAAAGGACTCGGCTGAAAGGTTTTAATTTAATTTGCAAACTTGTTTTTCCTTCTCCTTCACAAGCCATGTCGCTCTCCAGACAGGCAGGAAGCTGGGAGCCACCCATCATTTCGTGGCTCCCTGACAATGAATACTAATTCAAAACATTATTCTTATTTATTTTTTTTAAGTGAGATGTTAAGGCGGGGAGGAAAATCATTCTGGTAGAAGATGCACACACTGGATTTCTGCTGGGCTGCTTCCCATCATGAGCTTCATCTGCCATTGACACACTGGGGACCGTTTTCTTTTCTAATTTCTGAGCCATTCAGGATTTGAAGAAGATCAAGTTGGGAAGGGGAGTGATGAAGAAGGAGGGCAGAATATCTCTGCCTACCCTGGAAGAATCTTAGCAAGCCAGCTGAATTGAGGGCAAAAAGGAAATTTACTCAAGCATTTTCAAATACGTTTGAGAATTTGTTTCATTGATTTTTTTAAAAGCCACTAGAGTATTATTATTTTTTGTTGGTGGGGGAGAGTTGTTTGTTTGTGAGACCTAAGACCTGTTCATTATAATGTTGGCAAGGCAAAGGCAGGAAAACAAGGAAAAAGATGGGCAGGAACCAGTGACCGAACAAGAGCAAAATCCAGCATTGTGCTTTAAATAATAATGGAGTAATTGGCTTTCACCCAAACACTTGCAATCTAAACTTTTTCCAGTGATGGTGGCCATTGGCTAGTCTTTTAGACAAAGGAGTTATTAAAGCAAACAAAATCCCATTTTTCAAGATTTCTGGTCACTGTAATAATAATCTCGTGCCATCAAATCAATTCTGCCATGGCAACGGTTTTTCAGGGTTTCTCTGGCAGAGGATATTCAGAAGTGTATTACCATTCCCTTCCCCTAGGGGCAGCCTTGGGATGGTGTGCAGCTGTCCCAAGGCCACCTAGGCTGGCTCTTCTCCCGAGAGGCCCAGTGGGGGAATCGAACCCCCAACCTTTGGCTCCGCACCCAGAGACCTAAACCATGGAGCTATCCAGCCAGCTCAAGTAATCCGGGTGTCTTCTCTGGTCTTTGGCCGGTTTGTTCTGTTTGTAGCCACAGGAGTTGGTCATCTGAGAATAAATCAGCAAATAAAGGGAAACGCTTGGTGTCACAGACAGCTAATGCAAAGAGGCACTGCCATCACCCATCCTAGTTCCTGGTCCAGCATGGCCCAGTGTGCAGAACTGGCTTCATCGGATAGCCATGTCCAGAGCCTCTCTCTTTTGGGTCATGTTCAAGAGCCTCTATCCGAGGGAACTTATGTCCCGGCCTGGTCATCCATATTGCAGAGCATCTGGGAATCTGTTGCTTCTCTTTCCCTTTGTACACAACCACCCACCCATGTCTCATATCAAAAGGAAACTCCCACCATTATAACACCACTGGCGTGCATCTTGGCCTTCTTAGAAGATGCTGTGGTATGGTCTGCATCTTGACCTTCTTAGAAGATGGTGTCTTATGGTCTGCATCTTGGCCTTCTTAGAAGATAGTGTGTTATGGTCTGCATCTTGACCTTCTTAGAAGATGCTGTGCTATGGTCTGCACCTTGGCCTTCTTAGAAGATGCTGTGTTATGGTCTGCATCTTGGTCTTCTTAGAAGATGATGTGTTATGGCCTGAATCTTGGCCTTCTTAGAAGATAGTGTGTTATGGTCTGCATCTTGACCTTCTTAGAAGATAGTGTGTTATGGCCTGCATCTTGACCTTCTTAGAAGATAGTGTGTTATGGTCTGCATCTTGACCTTCTTAGAAGATGGGTCTCCTTTTTTTCTCCAAGATAAGACTGCAAAAGGAGGGAGAGCCCTGAGAAGAGACATGCCTTCCCCAGAGATTTTGCTGCCTGAGGTCAAGGGCAAGATGGCACCCTTCTCCCTTCACCATGGGAGCTGCATCTTATTTCAACAGGACAGGGCACACCATCACCCCGAGGGCAGCTCAGCTAGTCTGAAGGGTCCACAACCAGCTACGTGCAACACACAACTCTCTCCTTCAAGATTAGACAAGCGGGGGACATAGAAGGAAGAGACAGGGAGCTGTTACTATTTTGCCCCAGCATTTGCGGCCTGAGATAGTTCCTTCATTTACCCTAACGGTAGAGCTGGCCCATCAATCCGCCTGTACTGTTTTCATTCATGGGTCTGAATGCCATCAGAGAAGACCCACTGAGTCAAGGGGGTCCACACATTTCTTGATTTGGGTGTCAGTGGGATTGGCGTCAGCAGTTGATTCAACAGGCTTACTCTGGTCAGGTCCAGCAGCTGGATTTGGTCCACCGTGCTGTTTTTCTCCTACCACCATCACATGGTGGTTTTGAAATCATTTGCCCTTGTTTGTTCTTGTCAGAGGAGTTAATAAGACAAGGCCTCATTGATTCCAGATTTTATCTCTGTCGCCTACCCCATCTCGGGCCAGGGTCATTAAAACCCTGCAGTCCATTTTCTCTGGCATTAAACACGATGTTTCCGATTATGGGCCTTTTGCCAGTTTTACGATCTGTTACGAACGATCTTTTCCCTCAACATGTTCCCCTTTTGGTTCCCTCCAGATTCCATTACTGCTCAGTAGCCTGTGAGCACCTCAGTTCGGAATATCATTTTGAAAGATTAAAGAAGTTTTTGATGCACTTTTAGTCCCCCCCCTTTTCACAATGGCTTGAAAGATAAAACCAGGACTGGCTGGAGAATCTTTATGTACCAAGCTGAGGATGGGGCTCCCGAAGTAGCCACCCTCCGAAAGGGTGGCTCTCTAGAAAATGAACGCAGAATTAGTCTGGGGAAATTATTGGTTTTTAGAACAATGATTAAGAATTCTCTGTCTCCTTGAGCCCCGTGCCTTCCTGGAAGTGTGACATGCCAAATAATTCTCGTCCTTCTTGCGATGTGTTACCCATCTGTGACCTTTGGACTTGCTAGTAATAATGTTGAAAGCTTGATATTTTTATTTAACTGCATCCCATCTGCTTGCTAACTTCCTGTAAATGCAAAATACAATTAACACATGCCAAGCAACTATGTAGATGCCATTCTTGTTGGGGATGGAGGGGGTAAGTGGCTTTTTTCTTCCTAAAATCTGGGATTCTTTTGGAGAGGACTTCAAAGCCTGGGTCATTCATAGGTAAAGAATCCCTGGCATGTTTCTGGCTCTTAGACTTTCATTCCTTCTTCCGATCTAATCCACATTTCTCATCAAATTGGAGTTTGCTTACTATCTGGGTGTTTTCCCTATCGGTATTGCCAATAACGGGCCTGTGCAGGCTTAAGAATCTGAGACTTTCTGTTGTAGTAGAGTTTGGAATATCCAGTTGAATTCTTCTAGCTGCACAGCGGAAGTGCAGGGAATCACAGAGCAGAAACAAGTTGCCAAGATTAATCCATCCCTTTTTCTCATCAACGGACACTTAAAGTCTCAATATCACTCTGAGACATTAGTTGGAGAAGGAATAGAAAGACTTCAGTACTCACAATTGAACAGATCAAACAGCAAACTGACTAACATGACTGTTTTCAGCCACAGACCTCAACAGTACTCGACTGACTGCTTCCAAAATATTCTGCTCATATAAAGTATTCTGGTTATATACCGCCTCTTGCCCTAAGCTGGTTAAAGGCTGATCTGGACA